CATGAATACTGTGAGATGAAGTATGATCATTTTTCGACGGTGACTCCCTTACAAATTCTCAGGGCGGGTAGACAGATGTCGGCTACTTGTCGGATCCGAGCCCCAATTTGTCATCTGGTGAATTTTTTATACTTTACCTTGGATTATTTTTGCAGTGCAACGATTTATGGCTACTATGCTGTGTGGTTTATAATAAGGCTCAGGAATTTATGGTATGGTGTACACAGGATAATGGATTAGAATATAATGAAAGTTACGGTAAAGGTAAACGTAGGCGAAGTATAAAACAAATAGATGAATGAACAAAACAATAAGAAAAGTTATTCTGCATTAAAGGTGAATTTTTTTTTTTCACATAATCACGGCTGACTTACATGGTACAGTCATCAACCAATTATGTCTACCATTAAGAGTCTGTACAACCTGAAATGGGTTTTGCCCTTTTTGGCATAACAGTGAAAGTGTTGAATCAAAAAACTTTGGAAAAAATATATAGTTAAATTGAAGATCTGCACTGATTACTATACGGTGTGAAAACATGATTCTTAAAAATTTTCACGATAAAAAACAAATACAAACTTACTTAGAAATTTTACAAGAAAACAGCCGTATTCAATACGTACTTTACATATACCAATATTATTTTGAAATGAATTGAACTGAATAGAACACGTATAGTATATGATATACATTTTTCAAATGGTTTTAATTTCGTTTTGTAAGAGTATATACTACATATACTCTTACGATGTGCGTAAGAGTATATACTACATATACGCTTACGATGTGCGTAAGAGTATATACTACATATACTCTTACGATGTGGAGGACCACCCCTCTCGTCCCGCAATCTGCGCACTAAAAATTAATATGAATAATATAAGAACAGGCGGTGAAAATTTTACACAGATCCGACGTTGACAAGCGCCCGATGGCGACTAACGGGGCTGAGGGCGGCGCGGGGTGTTGTTAAACCACTGAGAAATTTTCAAGTATTGAGATAAATGTGATTTTACTAACTATAGGGCTTCAGTTGAAAACCAAAATTTAGCATTCACATCCACATTCAAATAATGGGTTTTGCAAGAATTACCAATTGATATATACTTGACTAATGTCAAGCAAGGTACCAATCAGATAGCCGTAAAACATGTATAAGCAGCTGTAAAACAATCGTGTGATAATAGATCACCAATTTTATGTGACATTCATTTAATTATATTTTAGGTTGTCTGTAGTACTTAAATAATAATATCTCCAAATCAAAACCATATTTTATTTATCGTGTTCTTAGGTTTTCGCGATTGTTACACATAGGAAATGGAACCATTTTTCCGGATTTAAATCGCTTATATTTGTTCTTTCATACAAACCAACGTTTCGGGCCATTTACAGGTCCCATGGTCACGGTTGACTTAAATCAATTCAACACATGCTTGACGAAATATTGGTTTGTTTGAAAGAACAAATATACGCGATTTAAATCCGTAAAAATAGTTTCATTTCTTCTATTTTATTTTTATCTAATTCGTTTTACACTTCTATTTTGGCCTGTTTTCGGGACTTTATATGATAAAATAAAGTACATACCATATAATGAATTAGCACATTCTTTAGGCAATGTCCTTAGGTATATCATAAGTTATAAGACCGATATTTAATAGTAAATACTGAAACCATCTGATCTATCAAACCAGTTATTCCCCCTTCTCCACCGGTAACTCGCTAGTGATCCAAAACATTAATGCAAAACGGGTTGGTTTGACATAACTGGTTGACAAAGATATTTTAGTAGCAATAAGCATTACTGCGTTCCGGTTTTGAAAGCCAAGGGTGCTGGTAAAAGTACAGGCACATGGGACTTGTCAACTTATGTCTCAGGATGACGGGCGTAGTGGCAGTGCCCCTCCGGTCTTTGCAATTTAAACTCTGAGTAGCACTGCAACTGTTGTGGACAGGCGTCTACCCTGTCATCAGGCGCATGGCTAGTTTGTCTCGTCATATGGTATCATAAAAATTGACGCCAAATTTTTAATAATAATAATAAAGTCTACAATAGATACAACAATAATAGTAATGATTGTCATATTGGATCGATCGCAGTCGAGGGTATTTCTTATGGACGTTACCATCCCGCATGACGAGGGTCTCGTGAAAGCTGAAACCGAGAAACGCCGGAAGTATCTCGACCTGGCGCACAAGATCACCGGCATGTGGGATGTGGCCTCCACTGAAATAATCCCAATTGTTTTGTCCGCAAATGGATTAATTCCAGTCAGCCTTTCTAACAGTTTGAGGCGGTTGAATTTCTGTGGCGTGTCGCTTCCAGCACAATTGCAGAAGGCGATCCTGCTCGATACGGCTCGCCGGTTCTTGAACCTGAGTCCCTGACCCCGGCCGACTGTGCCATTGCCGGGAAATACCGCCTCTCCCATTTAAAAATTTCTAAATTAATCTTTTAGGCCTTGGGAGAGGCGAGAATCTAAAAAAGACAATAATAATAACACACACACTCAACATAGCCCCTCTCTAGGGAAGCCCTGGGTCGCAGGTGCCATGGACACACACATAGACAACCACAATTTACACCCAAACTCACGAGAGAAATAAATGTAGGCCTTATAAATATTTCTCCCGGCCCGGGAACCGAACCTGAGACCTCTGCGTGGCAGTCCGGCCATTGTAACTTTCGGCCACAGAGGCAGTTAAGTTTCGTTAAATTTCGTTCTATATCATACACATTGTGCTCCTGTTATATATGTTGCGGGTAAAAGGTAAAAACACGCCAAGCTTGAGTCTTAAGATTTAAATTCAACTCTATGCTTCTTGAAATAAGACGGACCAAAGTCAAACCTTGATGTGCTTTTGTATGTACCAAATTTTATTTTATATTAATTAATAACTAAGTTGCAAAAGATTTGCCTAACCGAACTCGATCCCGATTGTACGATGAGTTAAGTTAAAATTGGTTCCTTATCCGATAAATCGACGTAAAATCAGTGCCAGCTACATACCCTTTATAAATTGATAGCCTAAACCCCACTCCTTTGGTTGGAGCCGTTCGGGCCGCAGTAATTAAATTGCTTCTCGACTGCCAGTGGTTTTTATTAAGTGTTACTCATTCGTTTTTAGCACCGAAATACGTACAACTTTACACACGTATGAACCT